TTGTCCTCTTGGGCTTTTTATAGCAGACCAAACATCCTGTTACCAAACTGTGCATTTCTAACCCCGTAGTTACTTTCATCCCTTTCTCGATGAGTCTCGTAGAGGGTCTTTCGTCACTCTGATAAGCAGGTTGGTGAGTATCAGCGAGAGGCACGGAGGTCTGAAGCGGATGTTTCCTGTGAAGTGAGTCACAGGGGGGCTGGATTCCAGCCAGGAGAGCCCTGCAGGGCCAAGCGCACCCACGGCCCCTCCCCTGCTAAGGTGTCCCTGCGGAGCCGCCCGAGCACGGGCACGACACAGACCCCTTCCACCGCGGCACCTTTCTCCTTGCTTGTCTCTGGTACTCTGGAGAGTGCTAAATGCCCACGCTGCTCTCCCTCCCCTTCCTGCACGATTGCTACCAGTGGCACAGAGGCTGTGCTTCACTTGCGTTTAATCACCCTGGTATCAGCGCACGGGAAAGTTCAGGCTCATGCTGGGAAAGGCACGCTCGGATGAGGATGACGCCGCAGGGACGAGGCAGGGCATCAACAGCCCCCGGGGTGCCTGGGGACCAGGGCTGTGGACTGGAACTTGTGACATGCCGAGAAAAGGTGTGTCTGATCCACTACCCAGCGCCTCTGCCAAAACACACCTGCGTGCAGCTGGTATGCAGTGACGGGCAGCGCGTATTCTCTGGCGGCTCCCAGGAAAGCCGAGTGGTCACACACGTTCTCACTGATAGGGATCTTCCCACGCCCAAGTCCTGCCCCGGTGCTAAAGAGGAGCGGGACTCCTCGCTCTCGATCTAAAGGCACTTAGTCAGGGCCGCGTTTTCCCCAGCTCTAAAGTGGGGTTAGTCATACATCATTGAGACTATGTGTTTCTCAGGTGTGGGGTTTCATAGGCAGCCATAAATTTGTTGTACTGTGAAGAACATGGTACTTTGAGAACCTGAAAAGACTGTAATGAAATGATTTTTTTAGCATTTATTGCTTTGTAGTGCCTGAAAAAGCCGTTTTAAATGAGCGTGTGCAAGCATCGTGTCTGTGTGTATAATATACAGACACACACACACATGTACAAACACAGTTTTTACTTACCAATCCTTTAAGCTCTCATCTACCAGAACATGCCTTTCCTTTCCTGTTTTCCTTTAATCTTGTATAGTGCCTGCTTGAAAAATCATAGGCTGCTCAGAAGTGTTGCTATTTTCCTTGGGGTTACTGAGCTAAAGCCAAGCTAAATCCCAAGGTTTTGTGGCTGTATGAGCACGGCTGAAGGGGTACATTACACACTGCTCTGTAATTTATTTGTGTACACATCTCACATCCCAGGAGCACTGCTCTGGAGCTGAACACACTTTGAGGCCATGGATGGTGGTGTGTGAAGCTGGAAAAGGGAGGTGGTACAACCAGGAGGGAGGAGTGGGAAGGATTGGGCAGACAAGCCCAAGGAGCAGTAAAGCTCTTAGGGAAACCCCTTCCAAAGCTCTCCATCACCTCTGACTCCTGAGCCCTTCCTGCTGGACAAGCTCCTGGCCCTGAGCAGGAGTCAGGTCATGGGCTGCTTGCGTGTGTGCAGAGAGGTCTGTATTCCATGCATGAATGCACAGCATCACCACTTCCTTCTTGCTCCAGGCCCTCTGCTACATTCTATATTAGGCATTGAGGAAGTGAAGGTGGAACAGCACCCTTCTGTGCTCACTGGGCTGCAACCTCAGTGGGGTGTTGCTGCAGAAATGGTTTTGTCAGTAGACTGGTGACAACCACCTCCCAAGACTGGCAGTAGTTTATCTTTCCCTAACATAAATAGCTTGGCTTTAACAGAGAGCACAGACCACCTTGTGTTAATGAGTAATAAAAGCAATCGACCCATGGTGCATTTGTCCCTGAGCTGGGTCTGAGTGTAGTCAAGGTGATAAAACTCTTACATTAGCAAAGTTCTGCTGCATCAATACCACACAGAGTAAGAGCCTGACAAGGCCAAGCTCTGACAATCAAATATTAGGATACCCTAATGCTTTTATTAGTGTCAAAGCACGTTTAGCACATGTAGTACAGCCTACAAATTCACTGGAAAGCTACTCTGAGTCATGTCAGCCAGGTTTTGGGCTATACAAAGACATCGTGGGAGGTTATTTTGGGAGAGCTGTTTTCTGAAGCTGAGGGGACATCTGTCATGCAAGCTAGGAAAGCAGACCATGATGAGAAACTGCTACAGACTTTGCTTCAAGAAGATGCTGACTTGTTCTAAATAAAGAATATTAAACATGTACCTTGCCATTTTCTACTAAATAAAGAATATTGTATTCTTTCTAGTATCTACAGCAGATTCTATGGGTGTGTTTGAAGACACAGACCTAAAGAAGGACCAGATACTGGATTGGTCTCTCCACCAGGTGAAAAGCCACAAACTGTCTTCATGGTGTTTCACACTCTGGAGCAGCCTTACACCAGGGAAAACGGAAGGATCCTGACCTGCTCTGCTGTCCAGGCCAGGATGCTCCAGAGCCCCAAGCTAGATGCAAATGGCTGGAGCCACTTCCTGCCTCCAGTGACTCATGGCCAGGGAAGCACTGGCATCCTGCTCTAGGAAGGGTCACTCACCTGCCCTGCCCTGCAGGGAAGGTGAGCACAGGGAGGTGGAAGAAGATGGGACAGCAACACATTGCTGGGCATGCGGAAAATAAACAAGACATCACCAGGACTACAATAACAGCTGTGGGGAGATGGAGTGAAGCACAGGCAGCGCTGGTGCCTCACATGCTGCCTCCATCCCTTGGTGGTGTTTGCCTCTTGGTCTGACATCCATGGGCATTTCATGGGCTGGGCTGGAAGAACAGAGTACAACATGCCCAGCACAAAAGCTTAGAAACACCTCTCTGGCTATTAGCATGGGAGATTGTCACTTTCTACCTCTGTCATGCTTGTATTGAGACGCTTCCACCATGCACCAAATAAGAGAAAATGTCCCCTTTCTTTCCACTTGGCTTATCCTCTCTGAAAGTGGCTTGCATTTGGGTACAGGACACAAGGCAATGGCTATAATACATTTCATATGGCTATAATACATTTCCTGGTTAATCCAGTCTCTGTTGTTGTTAAACTCTGTCCTGACTTAGGACTAAGTCCTAAGGACTTAATGCTGACTGTGGGAAGGCTGTCTCAGATTTTTCAGGCCTTTTCTAGCTCACCACACTACTTTTTCTGAGTTGCCAGTAATAACAACCGACTAGGATGCTTCTTAAAAATGGATGAAGACTGAAGTTAATGAACTCAGAACAAGACAAGTATAGGAAGCTGATGTCTATTTTCAGTACCTGTCTCAGACAAATGTAATCTATATACATATATGTGCTAATGAAAGTCATGATCCTTTATGGGACCTGTGTGGCCACTGTCATGTCCATATGGGTCAGAACTGTTGAAAACACAACACAGAAAGCCATGAAGTGAAAATCATGAAGGTTTCTTTGACTTATCCAGATATTTGGATACCAGAAAACTCAGCAGAAAGCATCATATCCACATAACCACATCAAGACTTGCATCTGGGAAAGATGGAAGAAAAAAAGTTCCTCAGTTGTCCGCTTCTACAAATAGAATTAGGAAACAAAAAGCAGAAAGCTGAAGCATCAGAGCCTCCTGCATACCCAGCTTTATACCTGGGAGTTTTGTTCTCCACTTAAGCTTCTCAAAGCATGTGCTGAGGACCTGTTCCACAGTGTGAGGCTTGAGGAGTGGAGTGAGCCAGGCATCGAGGGTAAAAGTTGTGATCTCTGTCAGCAAAACCGCCTCATGAGGCTATGACTGGAATTATACGGGTTATCTATTGTAAGAATAAACTTCTCATTGCTGTGGTATTTGAAGGGGAATCCCGGAGAAGCAGAAGCTTTGAGCAGCACTGTAAAGGTGCCGCTTGGCTCCATCTGGAGGTGACAGCTCAGATGACAGACACCGCCAGCCTGGGCAAAGCTGGGTTGGAAACAAAGCTGAACGCAGAGCAAGAGGCTGCTAGTCTGCCCTCTGTTGAATATTTGCCCATTCAAGGCAGATCTTCAGCCTGTTACTGCTTCTCTTTAAATTCAAAATCAATGATCATTGAGGATGCGATGCTTTCTGTGCTTTTGTGCCTTTGGGATGGGAGGAATTTCTAGTCCCACTCCCCTTTGGTTTTCCTGAAGGGTGCCCTGATGACTTTCTCAGCACTGCACAGAGAGGAAACATTGAGAAGCCTCTTACAGAGTCCCCAGCCTTCTGCCTCTGGCAGCCTGTGTGACCCCTGCTCACCTGTGGAGTCCAGCAGGAAAAGAGAAGTTTGCCATCAGAGTAAGCAAGCAGGGAAATTCCAACCAACTGAAATCCTCCAGACTGGCACTGGTCTGAAAACTTCAAGATTTCCACATGGGAGTTGTACTCATGCCATGAACAAATCAAGGCCTAGGGCATGAGAGGTTTCAAGGTTTGACTTAAATTCAGAATATAGAGTTCTGTATTAGGGATGGGGGTGGATGTTGGTTCTGAAGGCCCATGACTGTTGCCTTTTCCTTTTCCTGGTGACATTTCTGCATTGAACTAGATCACCACTGCACCAGAGACCAACAGGGTAACAACCAAGGGGTCTGGGATCTACACCAAGACACTTAATAATTGCTCCCTGCTAAGGCATAAACCATTGAATAAATGTGTGTGTGCACATGAGAGCTCCTCTCTGTGCCTCACAGCAAGGCTCAAGACTTCAGCCCTGGAGAGCAAGTTTTGATTCTTTTTTTTAATTCCTATTTTGACAAAACCTTCCATGGTACCTGCCTCCCCTGGCAGCCCAGGGCTGCAGTTACTGCATGTCCCTTCTGCACAGCCCCATTTCTCTTCAGTCAGGCATGACAAGAGCTGTAGCGGTGCAGGGCGGATTGGCTGCAGCAGCTCCCATGGGCACTCTCACCCTCCTCCTGACCCCTGGCAGGTGAGCACTGCCCTGCAGCCATCACTACCAGATGGCATCTGCACAAGAGAGGAGGTCCTGCTCCTCATGGTCACTGCTGGGCATCGGGGACACTGACACTGTCTCAACCCTGGCTTTAGGAGCAAGGCTGGGCGCTGTTCTTCGCACTCCCCTGGATGTGCTGAGCACCTGCTGGCATGAAGTTTTTCCTCCAATATGTGGGCTTCTTCTTTGCTTTTTTCTCTGCTGCATTTTTGATAATATCTACCTGGACAGACTGCTGGATGGTGAATGCTGATGACTCCCTGGAGGTAAGACTGGGGTGAGGAGAGCCTGATCACCAAAACAAATTTGTGCTAGAGAGAGTTTGTTCCTGGTGTCATTGCTTCACTCCACTCTCATGTTCTTTCTCCCTCTTGTGCTGGATGAAAATGGATGAGAATGAAAATTATTACTGTGGCAAAAGCAGGAAAAAAGTGGCATTTTGTGAAATTCTCTTTGCCAGACTTTTTTATCCAGACTGTGCTCTTACTTAGTAAGTTCTGGAAAGATCTACAGGCTCTAGTTTTAAATGTGCATGAACTTGAGAAGAGTTATCCTGTATCTCCAACTTGCATGGATATTTTGAAGATGTTTCTAGTTCTTGTCTTCTTGGTGGAGACATCCAGCATGTACAACTGTGCTCTTCAAGTCTTTTTCTGACCAGCCATTGAGCTACAGGGCTACCAGAAATTTAAGGGGAGCATGGGGACTCAATAACTCCTGGAACTCATGTGGACAGTAGCACTCTCATATTAGAGAAAGGTATTGGCAAAAGGTAATTGCAAACAAGGGAGCAGATTGCTGCTTACAGGCAAGGTGTGTCCCAAAGACTCCAGGTCCAAAATCATCACTGTTTCTCCAGCACTCAATACTGCAAATTTATAATTTTCTTCCCAGCACAGTCATTCACTTCTGTACATTTGAGCTGCAATTCCACAGTGTAGGAATCTGCTGTCTGGCAAATTGGATCGTTTAGGCAGTGAATGTGAAACACCTTCCAGGATAGAAAGTTTGTCTGAATGTATCAGGAGGAAACTTTCTATCTACTATCCAGCATAGGAAACCATGAGCTCCTCAGTGATTGCAATGCAGCATTTAGCTGCAGCACGTGAAGGGGTGAATTATCCAAGGACAGAAGGATAAAACTAATTACAAGAAAAGCCTTTCTTTTTCTCTATGCCACAAGAAATCCTGACACTCTGACTGTCAGAGACCCTGAGAGTTGGATGTAAGTGCCGAGATGATGATCCAAGGCAGTGCAGTTCCTGGTGGTCAGTGTGTCTGCTCAGTGAGCCTCTTTTCAGGACAAAGAGTGCACCTAGTGATGCTGGATGGGATGTGACTCTTCATTTGGGAGATATTTCAGATTTCTATCAGGAAGTACTCAGATGAAGGTATATCAGTGTACTCAGAAGAGCCAAGGGAGTCCACTTGTGGGGAAAACCAGATGAGAGAAGCCCAGCTCCTGAGCAAAGTGAGTCCAGTAAAGAGCTGGTCCATTACCCCGAGGCTGTGTAACCTTGTCTTCGTGGCGCAAAGGCACACCTGCGATGGGCTGTCCGAAGTGCTCCATTAACATCAGTTTGGTCATTAGCAACCACTATTCTCACATTCCGGCTCTGAGTGTGAATACTAAATAATGGAGTAAAACGCCCCCAGCCTTAATACCTGACCACTGATCTTAATGACCCTAATGACTCACTGCCTCTCTAAACAGAGGAATGTCCACGGCCAGAAAGGCTAGAGTCCGCAAGGACTCCTGTTTTCAGCTGGAAAAAGGGTAAGTTAGGCAACTTTGGCTCCAGGAGAAGGGAACTCCATCCTTCAACAGCTGCTGGATCTTGTCTGGTTGCTTGGCTTTTACCCTGGCCCCCCGCAGCTGGGGAGGATGAAACCTTCACTGTGGTCCCACTGGAGAGGAGCATCCCAGGAAGAAGAGGCTGGGGAGTGCCCGGAGCAGCCAGCTCCAGAGAGGCTCTGACTCAGCTTTTACAGCCCCTCACCTCCCTTGAGAAACAACAGGTTACAGAAAGTTGTTTTAAGTTAGTGACTCCCTGTGAAGCATCAAGACAGGGCTGGGTCAATTTTTGTGGTAGTTTGTAGTGGAAAAAGCCCATAATCTGCTTCTCAACGAGTGCTGTATTGTGTAGACAGTCCCTCCCTGTTGCAGGTGGATTATAAATACCACCACTACTGTTAAATGCTGCCTGTTTTACTCTCAAGCTGGGCTTGTAATCATTGTCTGCTGGCACCTTCTCAGAGTGCGGTACAACACTGTGACTAACATCGCTTACATGTTTGTCTTCTCCGCTTTCCCCAGAAGGAGAGTGTGTGCCTGTTCTGTAATTTTCCTTTTTTTCTGTATGAGAATTATTTTAATATTAATTATACATTATGAATAGGATATAATTATATGTATTACAGTCATTATGCAGTTCATGTTTTACATGCATACTTGTGTTAGGGAAAGCAGGTCGTGGCAATGTGTTTCGTAATGGGAGTGGGGGATGAGGAGCGTGGCTGTGATGTTTGGCTGCTCTGGGAGTCCTCAGCTGGGACCAGGGAAGCTGGAGCAGACCTGCAGTAGAGGGAGAGAGGTGATGGGGAATTAGTGCTACCAACATCCAGCCATGGGATGGGGAAATCCATGTCCCCACGTGGTGCCCCATGCCCTGACCCGTGTCCCCCTGACAGGAGCAAGTTCCCGTGTGCCTGAAGGTCTGTGCTGTCAGCACAAGGGAAGATGCTCAAGGGTGGCTTGGGAGCAGATTGACAACCAGAAGGACCAACAGTGCACAAAGCAGAGGGGAGCAAGTGTTGGCCCTTGGCAGCAGAAACCAGAATATCTCAGCAGCAGCTCAGGGCAGCCACAGGTCCCCACAGTGACACCTGTTCCTATCCCTCCTGCACCAGGCAGTAGGACAATTATCCCTGGCTGCACACAGGCTGTGTGGAAATGGGCTGCCTCCTGCTTTGCCCATGCTGGCTGTAGCAGGAGTAGAGACAACTGAAATATCCCAAGAAATGGAAAGCATTAAACAAGCTTTTGTTAGTCTGGGAAGGGGGTTATTTCACAAGCTAGACCATAACTGTTGTGCTTAAGACCTCTGTTTTGCTTGGAGGGTGACAAAGCCTAGAATCCTGTTAGTCTCCTTATAAATAATTTAAATATAGATGCTGCTTGTAAGATTTAAAAAACAGTAATAATATCAGCAAGTGAGGAAGTAAGTGACATGATTAGCTGAATGCAGAGTAGTATAAATAAGCCTATGGTGGTTTGGGAGGAAAGGGAAATTATATAAACACAAGTGGAACAAAATGTAATTTAATAAAAATATACTACTTTCAAGCACAGCCTGAACAGTGGTGAGTTAATACAGAAGAGGACCTGCAACTGCATTAAGAGGGCCATGGTAAAAATACATTGAATATAAAAATGGCAAATTGTTTTACGAGACTCTGTTCTCTTGAAAAGCACAGAACCAATGAAATTAATTTCTTCCATCACTGCTTTTCATTTTTCATCATATTTTTCATTAAATATGCTCTGAAGTTCTCAGAAACATTAAGCACTTCTCATCTTCATGAAACAAAACATGTAGATTATTTCCATTCAAATATAAATAGTATCTCTTCTGCCAGTCTGAAGTAGCGAGTCATTTTTCCTCACCTTTGATCCAGACAGCAGTATCACAGAGGAGGTGCACAGCTTGGCTCAGACATTGTGTTGTGGAGAAAATATTACGGTTGGCTACAGACCTCAGTACATCCTGAATAAGACTTTATTATGTGTCCAAGATATGTTATTATCTGCTTTGTGATTTACACAGTGCAAGAAAAATGAATTTATTGCATCATCCAAGCAAGCCTAGTCCCCTTCCCCTGCGTGAAACTCATTTGCTGGAAGAGTTTCTCTTTCCATTAACTGCAGCGGGTGTCGCTGGCAGAAGTGGGAGGGCTGGAGTCCAAAGCTGCACCGACATTAACTCTGCTCCTCGTATGAGCAATTCCAGGAATATTTTAAAGGTGCTTGTTGCCATATTTGCATTGGTAATGGAAACACCTCCCGTATTAAAGTGATTTATGGAAGGCTGGGCTGGGAATGGTATCTACGGCTCGAGGACAGCGGAGACGATTAACCACGATGCTGCTCTGCCCAGTCTGGATGTCTCAGTGATGACTGTGGCTTGGGCACGCGTGGTCCCACGGCTGGCAGCACATCAGGAGCCCCAGGGCCGGGATCAGCACCGGCTGCCTCTGGTTTTCCAGCCAGTGTTTACAGCTGAGTCATCTGGGGGCTGCCCTCCCCAGGTGTCTGCAGAGGGGCTCGCATCCAGACTCCTCTGCACTCCTCTCCCACTCTCTGAGCTGCTTCTCCTCTGCCAGGAAGATGGTATAAGGAAGGCGAGACAGACAGCAAAATCTTAGGTCCTCTGGTCCATGGCCCTGCCCAGCTCAGCCTAGACAAGAATTTGGCAATGAGTGAGCTTCTCCCAGTCTCTGAGTTGCTCCTCCTCTATCAGGAGGATGGTGTAAGGAAGGGGAGCAAAATCTTGGGTCTTCTGGTCCATGGCCCTGCCCAGCTCAGCCTAGACAAGAATTTGGCAATGAGTGAGCAAACTGCTCTTAGATCTTTCTGGTCAGCCACCCCCCAGCTCCTCCCAGAAATTTCCTCAAAAATTTTTATCCTTACTAGTAGGTAAGAGTTTTTTTCCTAATGTCTAGTCTGATTTTTTTTGCTGTAATGTAAAAACATTAGTGGGGACGTAGAAAATATTGTCCTTTTCCTCCATGCTTCTACTTTTTCTCTTCAAGCTAAACACTCTGGTTTACCATCATTGTAACTGGACCAGGATTTCTGTGGAAGGGCTAAGACAGCCACCTGCTGCGTTGGTGGATATTTTAACCTATGGTCTTTTTTGTCCTCTCAATCCGTAGGTGAGTACAAAATGCCGTGGCCTGTGGTGGGAATGTGTCACAAACGTTTTTGATGGGATCCAGACTTGTGATGAGTACGACTCCATCTACGCCGAGCATTCCGGTATGTAAGAGTCAGAGATGTTTCTGCAAGTGGTGGGGACACTTGAATGTAGACTATCTGTTCTACTCAGTGACAGATAATTAGAGGCATGTTTCTTTTCTCAGTCAGGTATTACTTCCAAGGGAAGCTGAAAAAAGCTGAACACCAGAAAAAAATGTTCCTGTGGGATCTGACCCCATAATCTGTCCACATTTCCATTCCTTGTGTACTGGAATGATCTGCTTTTGTCCTGCAGTGAAACTGGTGCTGACCCGAGCCATGATGATAACAGCAGACCTCCTGTCAGGATTTGGATTTCTCTTCCTGGTCCTGGGACTGGATTGTGTGAAATTCCTTCCCGATGAGCCGCTCATCAAGCTGCGCATCTGCCTGGTGTCTGGGGTTATGCTGCTCCTTGCAGGTATTTCCCCACTGTGTCCCCATTCTGTAGGACACCCTTTAGCAAAATGGGGAAGCTAAAAGCCTTCTTTTATTTTGGCTGGTGATTTTCTGTAGGAGAAAGGATTTTCATTTAATTTATTTGTGTAATGCATCTTCTTCTGTTCACCACCTGCCTCAAACAGCATGTAGTTGAGTTTATCTGCTTTCAGTTCATGTTTTGACCAGGTGAGTTGGCTTTGAGTTGACCGACTTCCATTTATTGCTATTTCACTGTGGAGCAGTTGAGGTTGATACAGCAAAGAGACCTTGCTGTAGGTCTCTAGACTAATTGCTGAAAGACTAGAAAGTCCTGGCATCCTGGTTTGGTTCCTGGCTCTGCCACAGATTGTGTGACCTTGGGCAAGTCACTTAGCCCAAAATCTCTGCAGCTGATCTCTAATAAAAGGATAATAACATGTCTGTCCCTTCTAGGTGATAAATCCCCAACTGGCTGAGGTGCTTTGCTGTTACAGCCAGTAGGAGAATTTTAAACACAAAATAAATAGCCAACTAGGTACCAAATAATATAATTTGACTTTCTGTCAATATCAAGCAGCTACCTCTTCTTCATCTAAGCAGATTTAATAGCTCACCCCAGCCACTGGGAGCACATGTAAAACATGTCAAGAGGCTCTTTTAAACATCTTCCAATTCACTTCTCAAAGTTTGTCTGACAAGCATCATCAAAGTTCTGAAAATCAAAACAGATCAGGAAATTGAATGCTGGAGACAACTTTACAAGCAGCTGGGAGGGGAGGAGCTTCTTGCCTTTTGCTGCAGAAACCTGAGTGCTGCCAGTGTGCTGGAAGTGTGTGTGAGTGCCAAGCTAAGAGGTGCAGCCTCTGCCTGGCAGCACAGGATACCACCAGGAGCCAGGGTGAATCCACCAAAGACAGAGCATGGAAGGGGACCAAAACCTGCCATCCCAGAACGTCTTCCCACCCTGAAGTCCACCCCAGCAGACTGCAGCTACAGCTTTAGGTCTGCTCCCCCATGGTTCTGAGTGTGGCACTCTCTGCAGGTCTCCCTGGCATCACGGGCTCCGTGTGGTACGCCGTGGATGTCTACGTGGAGCGCTCCTCTCTGCTCTTCCACAACGTGTTCCTGGGCATCCAGTACAAGTTTGGTTGGTCCTGCTGGCTTGGCATGGCAGGGTCACTCGGCTGCTTCTTGTCTGGGTCTCTGCTCACCTGCTGCATGTATCTCTTCAGAGGTGAGGAAGCACGGCTGAGGCACAGCTCAGGGACAGAGCCATTGCTCAGGGTGTGCTACAGGTGCACAGGGTGGGGAAAGCCCTTTAGCATGGTTGCTCATCTCCAGTGGTGATATTTTCAGCTGTAAAATGGGAATAGTCTGAGGCAGCTCTACAAGGCACCTCAAGGTCTTCATGTGGGAGCTGAGGTGCCAGGATGACATAAAGTGTGTTGTTATTATGTCACATCTTGGAGTGCTGCTTTCCCTGAATAATGAAACTTTGCAGCTGAAAGTCACCGAGCACTCATTAGCAGTTCCTATTTCTCTCCCTGTGCCTCACAGAGACCAGTTCTGGAAGATTCCATTCTGCCTACTCCTTGAGGAAAGGCTATTCCTCAGCTGCGACCGTCGTAACAAATGTGCATTTGCCATCCTCACAAACAGCCACCTCCAAAATGTATGCGGTGGACACAAGGGTGTGAGGAGGAGGTAAGTGCTGCAGAAAGAGCTCTGCTTTAATTTGTAGTGGATTGCACAGACACTCAAGCTCTTGTGGTTGTGATACAGATGCAGTTGAATTTCAAGGATCTACTGTATGGTACAATATTTGCATTATGAGAGCTTCAAAATACCTTTCCTCCAAGAAAGTAAATTCTGAGAAAATCCTGCTTACTGGAATCCTCTTGACTTGAGTGCTGAGACCACTTGTATAAGCACAGACTGAAATAACCAACACAAACTCTTTTCAGCATTTGTCTCAACGCTATTGGTGGAAATGAGATAAATCAGCCATTCCTGAATCAGACTGCAGTGTTCTGCATGAAGACCCCCAGACTGCAAGATGGATCTGTTCCATGGCTGGCAATGTGTCAACAGAGTGTGCAAAGGAGAAAATCCTGGCCAAGGGAGGGACTGACTGCCTGACCAACATCTGGACCCTGTGCACTCAGTAGGGGGGTCTGCCCCTCTTACAGGCACCTGGGGAGTTTTCAAGAGACAAGAGCAGTGTTAAATGTGTGACCCTCTCTTTGGTCTGTGAGTCTGCACTGAGAAATGATTGTAAATGCAGGTGCATTCTTCCCTGAAAAATACAGTCCTTCTCAGTCAGTGTTAAAGGGTATACTACTAAACTCAGTGAAATCTGGAAATTGCCAGCTCATTCTGCTTAATAAAAACATTGCTTGGGCAAAATGAGTGAAGATCCAAAATCTGAACTTGTGCATTACAGTATATCTACATTAACTAGAAGCTGGGATAAATGATACTATAATCTATTGTCCCTTTCCATCAAAAGGTATTTAAACCTTTAACTGGATTGCTGTCCTTGGCTGCAATCCAGGCTGCCATAGGCTGGATGAGGTTAGGGCATCAGCCAGATCTTCACTAGGGTGGGGGGGAAAATCCCTGTATGGCTTAACATGTTCCTTAAGACTGGATGTGAAGATTTTTTCATGTCTTTAATAGAGAAGCTGAGACAGAGTTTTCTTAGGGTTGGTAGGAACTGTCCAAATTCAGTCTTTTCTGACCATGGGCACCACACCATATCACTGCCACTGAGGGTTGAGAAGTCTCCCAGCACAGAGATTTACCTGCTTAGGGGCAGTGGAGGAACAAAGCTGGAGTCTCAGCTGGGTGTGCACAGCTGTGGGTGCTGAAGCACTACCAGAGGCAGGCTTCCTCCATGGACTGCTTGATGGGCAGGCTGGATTTCCTTCTCCCAGACAGTAGGAAGTGAAACTTTATGTTATGTGGGCCAGAGACAGATGGGCTGGCTGAGGTTGGAATGAGCTGTATCCCAAGCAGCACTTCTGGTAACTCCTATGATGGAAAATGTAGGGCTGAGTTTTCTGATGGGTTGCCCTGGAAGCAGCACCTTGTGCTGCAGCACAGAGCTGACCAGCAAGGCCCAAACACCACCCAGCCCTGACGTGGTTCCAAGCAAAAACCACCCAGGGCCTGAAGCAGACAGGACAACAGCAGGTCCATATGGCTCTGCTGAGGGCCCAGTACCTCCACAGGGCTCAGAGCACAGCACCACCAGCTCAGCAAGAGCCCTGGTGGCAGCTCTGCTGCCCAGGCAAGGGAGGCTCGTGCCTGCAGAGTTCGTGCTGCTTGGGCTGGCAGACGTTTATGTCAGCCAAACTGAGAGCAGGTTACTGCCAACAGATGAGCTATATCAAACAGATGTAAACACAGTGGGAGGGGTGATGGAGGCTTTTTTACAAGGTCCTGAGAGACAACGAGTACAAGAGTTATGAGCGATGTGCTGAATTCACAGAGTGTACCAAGAATGCACAAAGAGATCTGGAGGTGACAGGAATTTTTGTCTGTTATTGCAGGAAACTGCATGCAGAACTTGGTAGTTGTTTCTTTTTTTTTTTTTTTAACTTTTTTCAGATCTTGGTAGTTGTTTCTCTTTTTTAAAAAACTTTTTTACAGCCCCATCAGAAATATGTTTTCTGTGGGTCTTTGGGGCAGGAGAGCTGACACTGCTGATATTCTCTGGTAACATTTTTGAGTCTGATTCTTGGCCTGCGTCCCAGCTGCCCTGTGCCTTCAGAGACACAGTGGGAAGGAGATGGAGAGTGAACACACCCCAGAGGCAGAGCTGTGTTCAGTGCCTGCTCCACTGCCCACAGCCCCCCTCCTGCCCAGAGAGGCAAATGCTCCCTCAGCCTCCCCGAGGGAGGAGAGCTGCTGCAGGCAGCTCAGAGATGCTCCTGGGCAGGAGGTACCCAGCAAAGACACCATCAACTCTGAATCAAAAACTCCCCAGCCTATGCAACCAGCACATTATCCCTCCCCACAAACACTCAGGGATGCCTGCCAGCCTCTTGCTGCTGCTTTCCATAGCTTTTTCTGAGCACAGAGGTTATTTCTTGCCATGAAGATTTATTTCTTGTTTAGCAGAGAAGAAATGCAGGTGTAATTACAAATCTCAGATCACTGATTTCTCCTGTTCAGTGATTGAGGAGAATTTTGGGCCTTTGTCCTCAATGGTCTTCAGTTTGTTTTAAGGTGGTGGGAGCTGTTTTGTGACTTACAACACGTGGGTCACACCAAGCAGTGGCTCAGTGGGCACTGAAGGTCTATGCCCTGATCAGGGGTGAATATTAAGGATTAGTTTCTTTGGTCCCTCTAGCCCTGTGTTCCTCCTTGGGGTATGCAAATAGAGCACAAATACTACCTTAACTCATCCTCCTGAAATATACTTCACACACCAAGAATTTATATACAAATATTCTTTGCATATCAAGAATATTGCATCAACACTTGTGAGACTCTCTTCTTCAGTATCTGATTCCTTAATCATACTTCTATTCTAGCCAAACTCTATGGTGGGTTTTGAGGACCTATCTCCTGCACAAGAGGACCAGGAAAAGGTCACAGCAACTCTTAGTTTTGCTAGGTTAATGTTCTGTAACCAGTTCAGTACTGCATTGCTTCATTATTCAAATTCTGCTGACAGTCTAGCTGATGTTTTGATCAGCTGTTAATATTTAATTGTTAATCCCTGTTTGATTTAATACTGACACTGGTTTCATGACTGCAGGATTCACTGCTCATTAGCTCATTATCAGGTCACAATGCAGATCTGTTCTAGTTTAATTATATATTCATTAGCAAGAAACCTCCCAGAAAGTAAACAGGACTTATTTATTCTTTCAAAATCCCAACCAGTCCCTAAGGCTAAAGATGTATCAGGTGAGCTCAGTTATTAAGGTATTTCCTTAATACCTACCTGCATTCCATTCAGCAGCAGCTCACTAGGAATGACAATAGACTGATTTTCCCCTCCTGATGCCCATTGATGGCTTACCAAGGCTTTTTGCTCAATTGCAATTTCCAGCTGAGCTGAGGCCCAACATTTAATCCATCAATTCCAGCAGCTTTTTAGGTTTCTCCATATTTTCACTAGCATACAAGGGGCATTTTTCTATGTTTGGGCACCTGTGTCTTCATTTCCCAGAGCATAGGGAGAGTCAGGGATTTAGCTGAGAGCTGGGAGTAGCACTTTTCCTGACTGTGTGCCTGCCCCAGGGTGCTTCCTTGAACTGAGGCTCCCTGTTGTCCTCTCCCCTGACATCTCTGTGCACTCTGCCAGGGCTGGTTGCAGGTTATGGAAAACAGTAAAGTGTTTAGGTAAGATCTTTGCTAAGTTGATTCCGTGCCTTACAGATAACTATTGATTTCCCATTTTGATACAGGCAAGTGAGGGACATTAAAAAAATGACACCTGCAATGGCTGTCCTTTTCTGCCTGCAGCATCTCCTCCTCTCCCTGCCTCGATCAGCCTTGCTCATGAGGGCTTTTAACATCTCCAGCTGTAATCAGTGCTCACTCTTACTGTGACCTTGTGAACTAGACTATCTCCTACTGCAGCTGCATCAGTGTTTCCCAGGATATGGATTTCCTGCCTTTTCACAGACACTGCCATGTGATTTTGGTGTGAATTCAGTGGATCTGAACAATTCTTTCCAGTAGACAGGAGCAGCAGTGCAGAACTGTGTTTTCCTTACATGCTGTAACATCAGTGGGATATAATAAACACGATTGCCTTTGAGTGCTGTGTCTCTCTAACCCGCATCCAGGTTTTGCTCAGGAGGTGTTTTGCCAAGTGACCTGCTTTGACTCCTCTGAAAAGAATCACTGCACTCCTGCAAGGACACATAAAAGGTAGCAGCACAAATAGGACCAGCTCTTGGGCATGGGGGATTGATTTTGGAGGCTGCCTAGACCTTTGCTGGCAGCTAAAAAGCTCAGGCCCCACTGCACACCTGAAGCAATGCATCTTCAGCAGCTGAAGACTTTGTCTCAGCTTAGAGAGAGTTGACTTAGAGTAATTTCCTAAACTTTCCAGGAGAGAAAATAAAATTCCACCAAGAATGCAAGGTTTTCTCTCTCAGCTGGGGCTGAACCCCCACAGTTTGCTCTTCTGCATCTGTTAAATATTGTGGGCAAGTGATTAATGACTGAAATTCTCTGTCCAATCGTGCTTACGGCACAAGAACTATTTTCTCCCTGTAGCTGCTGGGTTCCTGCTGTAAAATGCCTTTGAGCAAGGAAGAAAAGAGCCAGAATTGTGCCATCTAGTGACCCAAAGAGAACGGGCACCTGTCCCCAGCCCTGTCCTCATCCTCCCTGCAAAGAAGTCTTCAGCCCATAATGCAGAATATTAGATGACAATTTAAAAAAATTAATGAGCATATAAATTATTTTCCCATCTTTCATGTCCAACCCTCCTGGCATTCCAAACTGATGTCCTGTTATGGCTCAGCTACCTCTGGTTTTGAGAGCCACTTTATGACTTTATTATTCAGCTCAATCTGCAGACGTGAACGTCTTAGCCATTTGCCTCAACACATTCCCTTTTTCTTGGTCACCAAGCAATTGGCTCCTCTGCACCATTCCCATTCCCCCCCACAAGTTTTGCTGATGACAATTTCCTCCAGAAACACATTTGCCTTCTAGTGTTCTGTTTTTTTTTTCTAGAGCTGTTTGCCATTTCTTCTCAAAGTCAGCAGGAAGTGTAAACCAGAGGATGAGTGGCAGCCAGAGAGTCACAGCAGGACAAGTGCTTTTCCAAGGTGAACCCTATTCCTAAGGTGATAAATTATAAGGAAATGGTTCTTCTTTCTTTGCAATTCTGGAAACCTCAGCCAAACAGCTTTAACTGCCCTCATTAAGAGCTGAGTACTTATAAAAATATCAATTACCCAGCAAAATCTCTACTTGTGTAAGAATGGGAACACAGGTCTGGAGAAACCTTGTCCGTTCTGCTGGAGAACACAGGAATGAGGTGGCAAGCTGGGAGAAGCAGCTTCCACATGAAATAATAGGTTGGTGGGGCCCCCAAAAATGCTTTTGTAGAAGAAAGAAACCCATCCTCTTCTCCATTCCCGTGATCAGGAAGCCAAGGACCAGGGCCCTGAGCCCTTCTCAGGGTACTTCCCTTCCTTACCCCAAGCCAGCAGCAATATTAGTTTATGTCCTCCCCACAGCAGCTCTGCATGGGCTCTGTTTTTGCAGATACCTCCTGGCTTTCAGCAGTATTTGGAAGCTCCTGTGGCTCCTGTCATGTTGCACAGGTACCACAGCACAGAGGTTCTCCCACGCTGGTGACTCCAGATGGAGCCTGGTTTTGTGACAGCCACTAGCTTACTTTGCTGTGAGCCACTTGTTG